TTTGTTTGGAATTTGGAGAAGCAATGGATTAGAGTTTAGAGACTGGAGAAGGAGAACTGCAGACCGGAGAGGAAGAGTGACGCCGGACAAGTCGAAGAAGAAGAATCGAAGAAGAAGGCTTAGGTGGTTAGGGTTCCTATTTCCTAGTTTTAGTATTTTACCAATTTGTATTGAAATTATGTTTTTTTTTAGTATTTTGCCATGGAATTGAAATGTTTATAGGAGGGCAAAAGGGGTATCAAACAAAAAATATATATATAAAATAGGTATTGAATTAAAAATTGGTGGAAAAAAATGAAAATGGCAGATTGGATTTGGCCCGCCGGGTTTACCGGGTCTTCCGGGTTGGGCGGTTTTACCGGGTCTGGCGGGTTTGGGCGGTTGGATCGCCCAAGCGGTTCTGGATATCCTTTCGGTCCGTTTTCATGACCGGGTGGCGATCTGACCGGTTCAACCGACTGATCCGGTCCGAGTTTCAAAACCTTGATTGAAATATCCATTGGCGAAGGGGAAGATTTAGGCTTAATAAAAGCATCATTACTGACTGAAATTGTTGTTGATGAAATCCGCCAGCTCCTTTCTCTCCAAAGGTGATAAATCAAGACCAAAGAACCGATAATCCAGCGAAACCCACACATTCTTGCCACCGTCGCAACTGATCACCCTCACAGTTTCTCTGCCTATTTTTGGAATGATACAGCAGATGGATACTGAAGAAAGAAGAACAATGGTAGTTCTAATTAGTGTGCTTTCTGAACAAAGAAAAATGGTCCAATTAAGTACTATCAAAGCAACTCACAAGTGTAAGTTCATGAATTAGTCTTGTATGACATAAATTAGTCTAATAAGTCCATTTACAACTAGTAATAACTTGAATTTCAACTTCTAAATTTTGCACGTGTTAAAGGATTAAATGTGACAGTCATGCACCTTGAAATAATTTGCACATAATGCTATCTCAAAGCATTATTGCATCCACCTTTATTAGGAGTGGCAAAAACCCACCTAATCCGTCAACTTGACCTTAACCCAACTCAAAAAAAGGGGTTAGGGTTTACATATCTCAATATACAACTTGTAAATAACTCGTATTATCAACCCGTGCGGGTCATGGGTCAGGTTAAAGTCAACCCGTGAGTTGACGGGTTGACCCATTTGTTTTATTTTTTATTATTATTTTTAAAAATATTATACTTATTATTTTTAATTAATTTTCCTATTAGTAACTCATTTCATTAATTCATACTCTCTAATTTCTAGAGAAAGAAGAAAAAATTATTATGAGTTTGATCTAATTACCCAAGTATTATTTTTTTTTGTTGGTATTAATAATTATCAAAGTATCATGAATGAAATGATAATGCAACTAAAAATATTAAAACATGTAATGCTATGATATAAACATAAGAATTTAGTGAAAGATGCTCTTAGAAGAGCAATTTCATCATTAAAAAAATGGCTTAAACTACTTGATAATATTTCAAGATGATTATAAAATTAAAATTTTATTTTTTGAAAAATTTAAATATTTTACGTTTAATATTGTTAATCAACTTATTATTATTTATAACTTTATGATTTTTTTTAATTTAAATGTTTGTAATTGAAACTATAAAGTAAAATTTCATAATATCATTGTAACATTTCAGAGTAAAATTTCACATAGCTTCAAGATATATTCTTCTTACCCAAAGAAGAAAAAAGGGGAAAAGCTCAACATTTGTTAGCGCCGAAAACATCATTAACATCCAACGTGGTGGAAGACCAAGAAACAAGGTATGTTATTTCAACACACAAACTTTTCCACAGTCTCACTTTTTCCTTAATTAGATAAAGCATGATCCCAGCAGGAGAGAGCTAGAATTAATTAAGAAAGTTGTATCTCATTCTTAATTAGGGAAGCTGTATGGGTATGCCACTATTGTTCAAGCTGTGACTATAACCCTGAGCTTTTCTACTGATTATAGTTGTGTTATATGATGCACCAAATACGCACTACTTTTAGGCAAGTGAACCTAATCGATTATGCAATATAAGATGAGTAAGATATCGTTCCTTCGAGGACTATCTTACACTACCAAGACCCTATTAATCTAACCTAAGTTGAATTAACCAATTAATGGGGAAAACTAAGCTACTTAAAAGAAAACTAAGTCGACTAAAGAAAATTAAACTAAAATATTTTCTAAGTTAAAGAAACTATGAATGAGAAAGAACTAGGGTTTGGATTTCATTTAACTCTGAACTATACAACTGTTTCACTAATTTAATTCAAGTTCAAATAATAATGTTATTGCATGAGATGGCGGATTTCCCTAAATTAATTAACTAGCTTTCTCAAGTCAAGCTAATCCTTCATTTGTTTGCTAAATCAATCATATCTCTATGTAATTTTAAACAAACTAATGAGCATTAAATTCTATGGAAATCTCTAGCTTAAGAAGAGGGAACTACTAACTCTCTTCTCTTCCTCCACTACCACATGTGAGCTAATTACCTCTCGGTCTCATAGTCTAACACACGGTTTATATTATTATTGGTCTAATTTACACAATTCTTTCTCAAGTTCATGCATAAATCACTAAATCAATTGAAAGGTGACCAAGCTCTCAATGCATTAAATTCAATAATATAAACTCATCATGCAAATAACCAATAAATCTTGAATTAAACTAACAAAAACAGTCACATATTCCAAAAATTAAAATCCATCCATCCCTAGTTCAAAGAATTCTAGCCACACATGTTTATGATTTCAACAGCCATGAAAAATAATTCCCAGCAGAAAATCATAGTAAAAGGAAATCAGAAACAACAAAACCCAAACAATGGAGAATTGCAGTTTGCCGAATGGGTGCTGTTGTCAAGAAGCAAGGCTGGGCGGTGAAGAAGCAGATTTCAGGGTCCTCTTTGCAGATTGGATTCGCGTCCCTCCGAGTAGGCTGGGCGGCGGCTTTTCCTCCAATGTGCAGAGCAATCTCGCGCGGCTGTCCTCTTCTTCTCTGGTGAACAACAGATGTGGGTGGCTGGGATGTGGGCGGCTGGGTGCTGTTGCGCAGAACAACTCTCTTGCGTCTGTGTGGCTCCCTTTTCTTTCTGCCGAGTAGCATCTATATATATCTCCCAGAAATTAGAAACCCCTTAACCCTAGCAGACATGGGAATTGGGCTTTGGTTTGGGCCTGAACTGCAGTTGGCCCACTCTTAAAAGAAACATAGCCCGTCTCTTTATTTCTGCACTGTCTATAGTCAAAACCGTCACTTTCAACCAAAAATCTGTATTGATACAGCTAGAACTGGGTTAAGCTCATAAAACATCAATTGTAGCTCTGCCTCTTAGCTTTCCAACGCCTAAAGAATCAACTCAATCCGATACCTAGAGAAAAAGATATGGTTAAATTACTACAGTATGTGCAAATTGTCACTTATTGCAAAATTAATTCCTCTCTTAATTTCCACCTACAAATAATGAATTTAATATAAATAAAGGTGAAACTAAGTTACAAAAGACCCATAATATTAAATTCTAGGCTCAAAAAGGGTAGATAAATGCATATAAAAATTAAACTCATCATTATATAATTAGGAGAAGACCAAGCCAACAGTAGAATTAACCACAGCTGGAAACCAGTCTCTGAAAATTCAGGCAAATTAAAGATCAAAGAACCTTTTTTTGGGATAAAATGTGAAATCCTTTTATACAGTTACTGAAGTATACAAAAGCGGCAATTTCCTGCTACATTCAATCAAGTAAAACTAACAGTGAAAATCTATTGTACTTGGCACTTTAACAGCAGCCTCAATCCCCCATCTTATTGAAATATCCATGGACGAAGGGGAAGATTTAGGCTTAATAAAAGCATCATTACTGACTGAAATTGTTGTTGATTAAATCCGCCAGCTCCTTTCTCTCCAAAGGTGATAAATCAAGACCAAAGAACCAATAATACAGCAAAACCACACACTCTTGCTACCGTCGCAACTGATCACCCTCACAGTTTCTCTGCCTATTTTTGGAATGATACAGCAGATGGATACTGAAGAAAGAAAAACAATGGTAGTTCTAATTCTTGTGCTTTCTGAACAAAGAAAAATGGTCCAATTAAGCACTATCATAGCAACTCACGGGTGTGAGTTCATGAATTGGTCTGGTATGACATAAATTAGTCTAATAAGTCCATTTACAACTAGCAATAACTTGAATTTAAACTTCTAAATTTTGTACGTATTAAAGGATTAAATGTGACACCGTGACAGTCATGCACCTTGAAATAATTTGTAGATAATGCTACCTCAAAGCATTACTGCATCCACCTGCATATATATCCTTGAACTGTCCTTGATATGGCAAGAAAAGTTAGGAGGAGAAAAACTCCAAAAAAATCCATGTCCGGCAAAAGTGAATTAGGGCTTAGAAACTTCTTGATGAAATGATAGGAGAATCTCTTTGGGGATGAGAAGTACAGTAGGGAAATTGAAGTGGCTTTAAAAAAAGGGTAAGAGTTTGTTACTGCAACCATGATGGATCCCGGGAACACCTCCATTTGTTCATCAAGATTTTTAATTTCAAAGTATAATCAGTAAGTCAATCCATTGGTAAGTAAAGCAGTACTAAATGCAGCTGTGTCTGTGAAGTAATCTTGGCTGCAAATTAAGACGAATAAGAGAGAAACACAGGGCATATTTTTGGATCATTCCTTTCTTATTCATTATACCAGAAGCATTCCTACATGGAAAGTAGTGTTAATGTCAAAGCACCCACACTCACTTGAGTTATCTCTGACGGAAGTAGAAGTTAATTAACAAATGGATCCAGAAAATCCATATCCTACAAAGCTGAAAGAAATTTATTTTAAAGTCTAGCATTTTGAGACTAAATAGTGAAGGTATCTTACAAGAAAACACTAGGTTTTATATTGATATGAGAAGGATCACTAGAACTCTTCTGCATCATACTGCACCAAATATTTTGGATCAATGCCATTGTTAGAGTTCCTTTAGCATTTTCACTGCCTTGGAGGCTTGGACTTGGAATCTTGACCAATCACCTTTAACTAATACTGTAGTTGACTTTAAAGAAAACTACAATGAAAAAGGTAAAGGGTTTATCTTTATTCAAATCCTATAAGATACAAGACAAGTACTACGTAAGATGTTATGAAGTTGCGAGGAAGCAATCGCCAAAATTACAAGAAATTTAGATGAACGTGAAGAAGATGGGGGTTCAGGGAGGGCAATTAAGGCGACATTGCTCTAAACATGCCATGATACTAAGTATTGTTCAAATGTTGCTAATATTACATGTCAGTTGAAATAACTGGTACCTTATGGATTTCTGGTCCGCTACTTTTTGGTTTCTGACTTTTTTCCTGTCTTCACCAGCAGTCCACAATATCACCCTTTTTTTTTTTTCCTGTGTGTTGCATACATAAAAATAAGGTAATGTGTGGGAGACTAATTTGTTGTTAGGAGATGCGATGGGATCTACTGAAGTCCCCTGCACCAGAATCAATGTAGATATAATAACACAAAGATGGCACATCTTGTAAGCTGCAACAGGAAAAGGAATCAATGAATAAGTACATTGCTGAAATGAAGGATGAAAACAGAGATATCTTGAGTGAATTAAAATCCTAAATAATAACATAAACAAAAGAAGTAGCACAATAGAAATTAAAAGAGGTAGTTTGGCTGCTCACAGGGTAAGTTCTGCTTTCCCAACTGAAAGATTGCAGGCTTCTTGAATTCACCAAAGGTAATCCACTTTCCAGTTCCAGCATACGGAAAATCCCATGTTAACAAAAGGCCAGTCTAAATGGCCAAAAACCAAAACCATGTTCCAGGCAAGAAGGAAGGTCACTAACGTCGCTAGCACTGATGCTGCAGACCACTATTGTTGAAGCTGTCACTAACACTGAGCTTTTCTACTGATTTTCTTGTGCTAACTTTTGCTTAGATGATTGATTTGTGGATTTCAGGAGGGCGATAGTTCACATGGGTTCAACTGGATGCATATACAACAGATGTGGCTGCAAGGTTCAGAAATGAAAGACCAGTTAGCCTGGCTGCTCTAGATAGACACCATACCAGACCTTTCAGGCTCTAGAGTATTCAGTATTCAATTAAAACAAATGTATTAACAATGTTAATATTTCATTTCTTGTATGTAAAACTATTCACAACCACAGGATATCAAAGATCATTCCCTTTGTAACTGAGTAATACTTCTTCAGGGTTTGAATTATGTTCTTAAGCTTATGGTGGATATAAATAAAGCATTTACTTTTTCCTTTTTAAAGAAAAAAAACCAGCTGTTTTATCCACTAAATTCAGCAATGTGTATATGGACCAATTCCTAAAGATTTTATTTGGGTTGATGATATACACAAGTCCAATTATAGTCCATCATCAAAGAGCCCAGTATAAATAATAAATTCAACTTGAATGGGGATCAGAAAGAAAAAAAAAAAAAAAGAGCTTTTCTAGCTTTGCGGATGCATGAATCAAAAACCAATCGGTGTGTAATACACTGTTCCATAAAGGCTCACCAAATACCACACTCAACAAGTATTCTTCTCTCTATGCACAATTAAGCCGGAAATAATCAAACTTAAAAATAAAGCAAGCAACTACTAACAGAATAAAAATTAACACATGCACACAATCAAGACACTGAAATTTTTCTAACATGAAAAACCCTTAAAGAGCATTGTCAGTGAAAAAGAATGCCAAGCACACATATGGTAATATAATATAACCTGATATTGAAGAAGACAGAAATTAGATAGTCTTTAATGCAACCAATATATTAATCGAGAGAAGAAAGCAATCGGAAATAGTCAATTAATTCTAAAGCAGCTAACATCATAGATGACAGAGGAATAGACTAGTATATCATCAAAATGTATCACTTTGGCGAAGTAAAATGAAGGGCAGATATAGCGTGATATAGAAAGCATATATAATTCTTCAAAATATATCACTTTTGATTCCCTATTCTTCAAAATACCGAAGCGAAAAGGCATCACAGTAAAATTTTAAGGAGGTACTTTGGATACTTACAGGGTAAGTTCTGCTTTCCCAAAAGAAAAATTTGTCAAACTGCCTGCAGCTTGGCTTGGTCATCTGCGTTTCAGTTCCAGCTTATAGAAAAATCACATTTGAACAAAGGGCAGTCCATATGGCATGCAGCAGGCAAGAAGTAAGGTACTATAGAATATCCTTCTGAATCAGCAGGCTCCCAAGTCTTCAAACATGAGGTCCTGCAGTAATTGAATTCAAAATCAAAATTGGTTGGCTTGCCTAAGAACATCATTTTGGAAGCTTATTGGTGGTTCAGGCCTTATCAATATATTTGTGAATTTCAAGAAATGCATAAACCATTTTTGAGGCAATTGAATTCATGTTTTCAGAGGAAAATAATTTTTGAGATGGAAAATAAATAGTGCCAGCAAGCAACAATATACGAAAGCATAAAATGGTGATGCCTGTTTCAGTTCACACTGTGTTATTACCTCATCCTCATCCTCATCTATCTCAACATTGGGGATGGTACAGGTGAGAGTCCAGTAGTCTCCTTTCGCCTCAAAGCGCTGTCGTTTTAGAAGTGGACACCTGCTGATGTATAGTTCTCCAAGTGAAGGAGGGAAGGCTTCCATTGGCAAGGATTGTAGCTTCTGGCAGTCAATTATCCATAACTTTTGAAAGGAGTTTAGGTTTTGGAAGAGCCCTCCTGGTATGAATTTCAAATTTTCTTCATTCTTTATCTCAAGAGAGGCTAAAAAAGAAGGCAACACAATATCCAGAGGAAGTTTCTGCTCAATTGTCAATTCTTGAAGAGATGTAAGGTTTTGGAGGCCCATAATCAAAGCCCCACCTGGAATTGTTAGTCTCTGAAGTGATGTGAGCCGGTCCATTGTTCTTGGTATATACTTGAGATTCATACAGTCTAATCTAAGATCTGTTAAGTTTGGGGCCAAACCCCCATCTGGAATGAACTCAATGCTGAGGCAGTCTTCCAACCATAGCCTTTGAAGAGATTGCAGCTGGTACATCGTACTTGGGAGGAACTTGAGATTCTTACAGTCTAAGAATGCAAGGTCTGTTAAGCTTAGGGGCAAACCCCCATCTGGAATGAACTCGATGCCGGGACAGTCTTCCATCGACAGACTTCGAAGTGATTTCAACTGATACATCGTATTTGGGAAGGACTTGAGAAGTTCACAGCTTGCAATAGATAATTCAACGAGATTGCTGACCCAATTAAGGGTTGGTAAACTTTTCAATATTTTACACTCACAAATAGAAATGGATTGGAGTCCCGTACAATGTTGCAGCATCTTCTCTGGGAATGATTCCACCCATTCGCAACCACAAATTGCAAATCTCTTGAGAAAAGCTGGTAATTGATGACAACACTCAAAAGAATACAAACATGGAAGATTACTTATTTCCAAATGTAGATTACTATTAGTGTCACTATCTGAATCCGGTAGAGACCCGAGACCTTGACAGTCTGCTAGTCTCAAGTATTTAAGTGTGATAGGTAATTTGCCTCTTGGAAAAGACTTGATAGAATCACAACCAGAAATTTCCAACTTTTCAAGTCTCAACATCAACATACCAGTGTTACTGCTACTGCTTCCATCCATTTGCACCATCATTGCATTGGGTAATGACTCCAAAGCTCTACATTGCTTAAGACTAAGATGTTTAAGATTGAAAGGCAAGAGGCTTTGTTCTATTTCTGCCCCTTCCTCCCACAAACAAGTAAGATCATTGCAGTATCCAATATCTAGAATCTCAAGTGCTATCAAGGACTGTGTAAAACTCTTAGGCAAACAAGTCAGTTCTGCAATTGCCCTTATTCTCAATTTAGTGAGGGAGGTCAGATTGACGATGCAATTTAAAAGCACCCCGTTGCAGTTTTCCATATACAGCTCTTTCAGTGATGGAAGACTCATACTCATCGGCAAGCAAGTCAGTTCTGAAATTCCCTTAATTCTTAAATTAGCAAGCGAGGCACGATCATCCATACTCTTCAAAAGCATCGCATTGCAGCTTCTAACATCCAACTCTTTAAGTGAAGAAAGGTTGCTAGGTAATTGGCCTAACAACTTAGGACAATTTTGAATCAAAAACCTATAAAGACAAGGGAATTCACCTTCACTTCTAGTTGGAGAAGTCCACTCCTTCCAATTTAACATGTTTCGAAACACCAGTTCCTCTAGTAATGGAAAACAGTCTTGTCCCCCATAAAACTCATAACCTACAGCTTCTATAACATCCATGCCTTCAATAATCAATCTTTTGAGAACAGGTAGTAGACCAAGTGATGGTAACAAAGTGCATCTCTTACAATTGCTGAGCTCCATAGATGATAAATTCAAAAATAATAATGGATCACAAACCCAATTTGGGAAACACTTGCCACCATAGCAAGAAATTTCAAGACTTTTCAAATTTGAATGAGGTTTTAACCAGCTGAGGACCTGCA